CCTGTAGAACCTCACCGGTCAAGCATCTGTCTGAGGTTTGGTTTTTACTCTGTGGTTCTGCCTGATGTGATGCCCCGCCCCTTTCAGCTCCTCTAATAGGCAGGTATCACCATGGCAACCAGTGACTGTCAATCAGAAGATCCACGGACTGTGATCTGATCACATGACCAACACCCATCCAGGAAGAGGAGAATGGACTGAACTTATCGCTTTATCAAGTCCTGCCAGACCCCAAAGAGCTTTTCACTTACATTCATGGAGGAGGAGGAGGAGGAGGAGGAGGAGGAGGAGAAAAGCAGAAAAGCAGAAAAGCAGAAAGGAAGCAGGTTTACAAACCGCGAGTTTTCAGTTCGTCCAATCACGTAGAAGCACGGCTCGCCCTGTTTGGAGTTAGTCATACAGAGAGACAGGCTGGACAGCTCCACTGGAGGGAGGAAAGAGGACAGGAAGTAAACAAGAAGTAGTCAGGAAGTAAACAGGAAGTAGTCAGGAAGTAAACAGGAAGTTAAGCTCAGCATCCAGACCTAAAACCTCACACCTGTCCACACCTGAAGCAGAAGTACGACACCTGAATCAACCTCTTGAGGTCAAATATTTCTCTGAAAACTTCTCATATCTTCTATCAACAGAATGTTTTTAAGTTTCAAAGTGACATTTAAATGAAAACAACTATTTTCTGTTGATTCATTTAGTTTTTTAAGTCTGATTTTATTCCCTTAGAAACTTAAACACAAGATGAATCTATTAAATAATTTTAAATATAAAACTGAAACCATCTCAGTGGAGCTTCGACACACAACTGTTTTAAGATGGCGCTCACCAGCAGAGGGCAGCAGAGGAAAGTTTCACTCAAACTCCAGAAGCYTCTAAAAACTGATTTCATTTTGAATATTTGTTTCAGAATCTAAAGTTCTGCTTCACCTGCAGTTTGTCTCAGTTTAAATTAGACGAGAAGAAACTTAGTTCAAGTTTATTTATATATCTCCAAGTCCCAACAGACGTTGTCTCAGGACACTGTACATAAAAAGAACAATGTAAAGAAGAAAGCAGCAGATTGTGTTGAATCACTTCATCACAGTCTCCCGCTTAGAGATCAGATGCTGAGAGAAAGGCAGACAGGTGTGGGTCACCTGGACGTCAGGTGTTTAACGTCTCACCGTAGTCWGGCACGTATCCATTTCCTTTCTTTAGGACCAAGTGGATCCGATGGCCTCCTCTCCGGATCTGCTCCACGGCCTGACTGTGGGTCATTCCTGCTGTACTGTCTCCGTTTATCTCCACCAGCTGGTCAGACACCTGCAGCACAGGTACACACCTGGTTAGTAGCAGTTCAAAGGTCAGTCCTCCACATCGTTTTTACATTTTATTATTTACCTTTATTGAAGCGGGCTAATCCCATTCAGATCACAGATCTCCTTTGCYAGGGACGCCTGATGCAACTTATTGTAATCGTATGTATTGTAACGTATTGTTTTTGGTCTGTGGAGGAAACCAGCGTACCCAAAGAAAACCACGCAAACTCCACAAATGAAGACTCCAGGTCTGAACCAATCAAAKCCAGGGTCTTTTAAGATATGAGGTACTAAGTTTATAAACAGAATAAATAACAATGAAGTGAAGGCACAGTGGACCTAAAACCACCTGAACAGAACCTCTCAGATGGAACCAWCCCAGCTAGTTTGTGTTGTGGAAAGCGCGTTCAATTTCTCAACAACACTGGTTCATCCCTTGAGATATGTCTTTTGACAGGTCGTTGGTCTATGGTAACAGGTCATTGGTCTTTAATAACAGGTCATTGGTCTTTAATAACAGGTCCTTGGTCTGTGGTAACAGGTCCTTGGTCTATGGTAACAGGTCATTGGTCTTCAGTAACAGGTCCTTGGTCTGTGGTAACTGGTTGTTGGTCTGTGGTAACAAGTCATGAGTTGATGGTAACAGGTTGTTAGTCTTCGGTAACAGGTCGTTAGTCTTCGGTAACAGGTCGTTAGTCTTCGGTAACAGGTCGTTAGTCTTCGGTAACAGGTCCTTGGTCTGCAGTAACAGGGCAGGTCATGTGCAGACCACTACACATGTTGTGGGATAATTCAGATCCCGAGTCGCAGCAGAGACTTAATATGTGATGAAGCGTCTCAAAGTTTCACACAGGAAGAAGACTCTGAGGTTGTTTCATGATTGAAATCTGGAGTCTCCGTGGCACCCCTACTCTTCAGGACTCCACAGACTGGTACAAAAGTGCATATTGTTTTACAGTGTGTACATGTGGTAGTACCTGTATCTTGTTGCTACGCTGGGCCGGCCCCCCATCCATCAGTCCCAAAACATACAGTCCCATGTTGTACTCGCTGCCCCCTCTGAGAGAGAAGCCAAAACCGGTGGGACCACGTTCCAGGTCCAAGCTGTAGAACCTGGACTCGTCCTGCTGCACYCATAGAGAAAATACAGCTGGTACCACAGAAAGTATTATATCAGTACTAACAGGAGTATTACTTTCACCTGCATCATCTCAGTTACACTACATCAAGGACAATTTCTAAAAAAAACAACAACAATGTCTACTATTTGTGGGTAAAATAGTCAACAGAATAAATGTAACCTTTGTTTTCCCTCTGGATCCTTTGATCAGATGTCTGTCAATGTTGTGGTCACCTCCTTCTGACATTGAGGAAGACTCTTTGGAGAGAATAAAACCATCAACCATCAAATACTTTGTTAAAAACCAATACAACATTTAGACTGGTTGTGTGGTTGGACTCTGGTTGTGTGGTTGGACTCTGGTTGGACTCTGGTTGTGTGGTTGGACTCTGGTTGGACTCTGGTTGTGTGGTTTAACTCTGGTTGGACTCTGGTTGT